CTGCGGTGTTTCCCTCCTCTTACTGGTTGTTCACGCCTTCCTTCTCACTCTCTTGTGATGTAGAACAGTTTTTAAATCTGAATGACTAATTTATCTTCTGCGTGTGTGTGAACTGTGTGTGCTTATGTGTAGAGGAGGCCAGAGTCAGTTTGCAATGTGATTCCTCTGGAGGCATCCATCTCTTTCTAAAGACAGGGTCTCACTAGGACCTGGGACTCACTGATTACATTAGGATGGCTGGCCAGGAAGCCCGAGGAATCCTCTTCTTCTCCAGCCCTGGGATTAGGGCATGCACCACCAGACCAGACTTTTTACACGGTGCTGGGGATCGAACCCAGGTCTTCACGCTTGCACAGCAGGTGCATTATTGACTGTGCTCTTGCCTCAGCCCTACCGCTTTCTCTTTTGGTTTGTGCATTGGGCATCATGAGTCAGCAATCATTGCCAGCATTGTAGCACACGCCTTTAATCTCTGTAGTCAGGTGGCAGAGGCAGGTGGTACCTCTGGGAGTTTGAAGTCAGCTTGATCTACATGTTGAGTTCTAGGTCAATTAGGGCTACATGGTGAGACCCTGTAGCAAACAAACAAACAAACATAAGAGGAAACCATCACCCGATCTAGACCGTGAAGGTTTGCCCTGTTTTCTTCTGAGTTTTAGTTCTTCTATGTAGTTTTGATTTTTTCTTTTTTGTTTTCTTCAGCACTGAGGGTTGAACTTAGGGCCTCAAATGTCCTAGGCAATCACTCTCCCACTGCGCCCCAGCCCTACGCTTGGCTTTAAATCTATCCCGAGTACAGACATACAATGCGAGATACATTCAGCTCCACTCATTTGCATGTGGACATCTCTGGTCCCAGCATCATTTATGCAGAAGGTTATTTCCCCATCAAACAGTCTTGGCAGGCTTGTTAAGATCTAGTCTGCAGGCAAGCGTGGTGTTATGTATCAGTACTCAACACTCAAGAGGTCGAGGCAGGCAGAACTCGGAGTTTAAGGCTGCCTGCACTACAATAGATCCTATCTCCAACAACAACACCACCACCAAATTGATTGATTGCAAATTGTAAGTTTGAGGCTGGGGAGCTCAGCTGGTTGAGCACTTGTCTAGCATTCGAGGCCCTCAGTATCCACAAAACTGATGGTCATTTACACCTATGATCCCACCACTTGGGAGGTGGAGGCAGGAGGATCAGAAGTCCAAGGTTGCCCTGGTGTATATAGTGAGTTTGAAGCCAGCCCGGGTATAAGAAACCTTATCTCAGACAGTAATTGTGGGTTTACCTCGTGATGTGAAATTTGCTTCCGTTCTGTAGCTCTATTCTTTGTTTTCACTACTGTGGCTTTCTAGTAAATTCCCAGTCAGAAAGTTTGATGGGTGAGGTCTATTTATGCTCAAGACTGAGTGAGGGGGGTGATCTCTTGCAATTACATAAAAATGGAAGGCTGGGCCTTGGCATTTCTGAAGAAGTGGGGTGTGGGAGGATGGGGCGTGTGTGTGTGTGTGTGTGTGTGTGTGTGTGTGTGTGTGGGTGTGTGGACGGGTGTGTGGACGGGTGTGTGTGTGGTGTGTGATGTGTGTATGTGTGGTGTGTGTATGCTGTGTGTGTATGTGTAGTGTGTGTGTAGTATGTGTGTATGGTGTGTGTGTGTGATGTGTGTATGTGTAGTGCGTGTATGGTGTGTGTGTGGAGTGTATGTGTTGTATGTATGTGGGGTGTGGGGGGATGTGTGTGAGGGAGGTTGTGTTTGTGTGGGTGTGAGTGTGGGCATGTGTGTGGATGGGGGAGCAGAGAGATTTTGATGGCGATCACCTCGAGTATTCAGGTCTGTTGGGGAGAAGTGCCATTTTAGATGCTAAATCTTCCTAATCCATGAACAAAGGACATCCATCTGTGGATTTATACCTTCTTAGTTCGTTTTAGAATTCTTTTGTAGTTTTGAGTATACAAACCTTTCATCTCCTTGGTTGAATTTTATCTGAATCAGGGTCTCATTCTGTAGCTCAGAGCCTGGAACTTACAATGTAGCTCAGAGTATCTCAAGCTCACCATGGGTTCCCTGCGTTAGCTTTCCTGGGTGCTGGAATTACAGGCCTGAGCCCCCGACCCCAGCTTCCTTGGTTAATGTGTCGGCATTTTATTATTTATTTATTTATTTTGAGATAATATCACATGTATCCAGGCTGATTTGGAGCTCAATATGTAGCCTGGAATGGTCTTGAATTCATGATTCTCCTGCCTTACCCTTCCTTTTGCTGGAATTCTAGGAGGGAAGCACTATGTCTAGTTCATTTTATTCAGTGTGTGTCTGTGGGTATGTGTGTGATGTGTTTAGGGTGTGTGTGTGTGCGCGTGCAGGGGTGTGCATGTGCGCGTGCGTGTGTACACACCTGTGCACATGCGTATGGAAGTCAGAGGTGGACATCACGGGAGGCCAGTCTTCAATCACTTTCCCCCTTGTTTGTTGAGACAGTGTTTTGGAGAATTTGGAGCTCACGGATTCAAACAGACTGGCCAGCCAGCTGCAGGATCCTCCTGCCGTCTCCCCTAGGGCTGCGCGTGTACATGTGCACGGCCATGCTGGCTTTCACGTGCGTCCTCACACTGACACGTGCTCAACCGGTCCATTTCCTCATTTTATTCTTGTTGATGCTGTTGTCCCGAATTTTATTTTCTGATTTCTCACAGCTACACAGAGAAACCTTGTTTCAAAATAAAAATAAAAAAAATGTTTTAAATTTGCTATTGTTCATAAATGTATGATATATGTTGGGGGTGTAGCCCCAGCTGTTCTGGAACTCATTCCGTAGACCAGGCTGGACTCAAACTCACAGAGATCCACCTGCCTCTGCCTCCCAAGTGCTGGGATTAAAAGTGTGTGTCACCACACCTGATCTAACACATAACATTTTAAAAATCTTGGAAAAAGAAATACAACTGATTTTATACATTGATCTTATATTTTGCAACTTCAATAAATGTATTCATTAGTTTTAATGCTTTTTCTAGATCTTTAGCATTTTCTTTTTAAATTTTTTTTAAATTTTACATATTTATTTATTTCATACACATTGGTGTTTTGCCTGCATGTATGTTTGTGTGAGGGTGTCAGATCTTGGAGTCACAGACAGCTGTAAGCTGCCATGTGGGTGCTGGGAATTGAACCCAGGTCCATCTGGAAGAACAGTGTGTGCTCTTAACCACTGAGCCATTTCTCCAGCTCCATCTTTAGCATTTTCTGCAGATAAAATCATGGCATCTACAACAAACGATGAAGAATTTCCTCCTTTTTAATTTGGATTTTTTTCCTGTTCTGACTAGGACTCATCTAGCTATCTACCTATCTATCTACGAGACAGGGTCTCTCTACGTAATCCTGGCTGTCCTGAAACTCAAGTCCAGGTTGGCCTTGAACTCACAGAGTCTCCTACCTCTGCCTCCTAGTGATTACAGGTGTGTGCCATCACGCCCAGGTGGCTAGGACTCTTAGTACAGTTTGTGTGGAAATGTCCCTGATCTTAGTGGAAAAGTTTCCAGTCTCTCACCACTGCATGTCAGCTGTGGGCTTTTCATAAACGCCCTTCATCATTTAAAGATGGTCCATTCTCTTCCTAGTTTATTAAGTATATTTTTCTATTTATGTGGGGAGGGGATAGTGGGCACTTGGTACATTTGTGGAAGTCAGAGGACAACTTGCAAGAGTTGGCTCTCTCCTTCCATCACGTCACGTGAGTCTTAGGGCTAGAACTCAGGTCCTCAGATACGGTGGCAAAGTTCCTTTACCTGTTGAACAGTCTCATACCATCTGTGAACAGTCCTTTAAAGATGCTGATAGATTTAGTTTGTTAGTATTTTGTTGTGGATTTTTGCATCTTCATCCTAAAGAATTGCTGATCTGTTGTTTTCTTTTCTTGTGATACTTTGGCCAGGCACTGGTATGCCCCACCTTTACAGATGAACTGGGAAGTGTTCCGAAAGGGTATGGCCACTTCATCTCGGTTCTCGAGCCTTTCGGCACCTTCTTCTTTAGTATTCTTGCTTACTTATTTCTTTTTGTCTACTTGATCTTCTTATGAGTGAGTAGTGAAAGAAAATGAGGACGCGACCATTCCGAGGTGTGGCTGAGGAGGAAGATTTCTGTTGTAGATACGAGATAAGAGTTCAGCCAGAGGCATCTGGAAGGGTGCAGACCGAACCCAGCCGTGAGAGGAGAAAAGAGCAGTGAGGAAGAGGAGAGGAGAGAGGGACCAAGAGAGGAGCCATGGACCAAGAGCCAAGAGTGAGGCAGCCAGGAGCCAAGGGAGCTCTGCCCAAATGACTGGAAAGAGAAGCTGGGGGAAGACAAGGCCAGCCCCTGGGCTGGAGAGGTTTAGGGTGACAGGGGTGGGGCAGGGTGGGTGGATGGATGGGGAGTGGTGGAGGGTAGGGGGTGTAAAGAAGTGCTTGGTGGAGTCACAGATACAAATCTTGTGTTTTGGTTCCTGCCCTTAATCCTGGCGTGCAGGAAGTTGAGAGAGGAGAACCATTAAGAATTTGAGGACAGCCTGGGTTAGAGATTGAGTCCCTCTTTTTAAAACAAAACAAAGCAATAAGTAAATGATAAACAAGCCTAGTTACTTTTCCTTTTCTGTTTTATTCATCTGTCCTTCCTTCTTTCCTTCTTTCCTTCTTTCCTTCTTTCCTTCCTTCCTTCCTTCCTTCCTTCCTTCCTTCCTTCCTTCCTTCCTATAATTTAACTTTATTTTATGTATTGGTGTGAGGGTGTCAGGTCCCCTGGAACTGGAGTTACAGTTGTGAGCTGCCCTGTGGGTGCTGGGAATTGAACCCAGGTCCTCTGGAAGAGCAGCCAGTGCTCTTAACCATCGAGCCATCTCTCCAGCCCATTTTTTATTTTTTCCCCTCCTTTCTTGTCTTGTTTTAGATTGTTTAGGTTTTTTTAAAATAGATTTCTGTTTTCCTCCTTTGTTATCTTTTTGTGAATTCTTTCAGTTTTTTTTTATCTTGTCACAACACCGATTGAAGTAAACAACACAGCCCCTTCTTGATGGCTCAGTGGGTCACTAGCAAAAGGCCCACTGAGTACTTTTAAAAGGTGGAGGGTCTTTCAGAATTTTTTTTTTTCTAAAAAAGCCTACCTTTTGTGTTGCTGGAGTTGAACCTGGGCCTTGCAGAAGCTAGACAAGTACTCTACTATTGAACTATACATACCCAGGCCTCGGAATTCTTTTTCTGGTTTATGATGTACATTTCTGACTTGTTAAAAGTGTGTTTATCACTTCTGGAGCCATGTGGCACCTAAACACCTCAGTTCGCTCCCTGCTCTCTCAGCTTCCTGTCTTCTCATGTTTCAGTCTTCTCTGCGCGCACTTCCTGACTCCCCCTACTCCCCTCTTCTCCAGCTTCCTGTTCCCTCATGCTTCCTTTTTCCCACTCTCCCTACTTCTCCACACTTCCTGATTCACCAACGGTAATGATTTTAAAAAGAAAGACAAAAATGGGTGTCTTTTGGTGGGTCTGCCAAGGTATGCCACTAAGCAAACAGGCCATGCACAACAGAGTTAGCACAAGGGGTTTATTGGGGGGCGGGAGGGAGAGGTGAAAGGGCTTAAGGCTGTGTCTGAGTGAGGACATGAGAGGCAGGCAGAGAGACAGAACAGGCAAGAAGAGAGGCGAGAGACAAGGAGGACAAGAGAAGTAAGAGAGACAAAGAGCGAGCTGTGCCCGGAGGACACTTTTAAGGGATGCACCTGTCACATAGCTGATGGCGGACAGGCACCTGGTGACAGGTGTAACTGCCTCAGCAGCAAAGCAGGCTGTGGCTACTGTGAGAACTAACACCAAGCTTCCTGTTTCTCTGTGCTTCCTTCTTTACACTTCCTGTTTCCCTATACTTCCTGACTCCCCAAGTTTCCCATTTTCTCATGCTTCCAACTTCACACTTCCTGTTTCCCTATGCTTCCTGCCTCCCCAAGCTTCCTGTTTCCCCATGCTTCCTACTTCACACTTCCTGTTTCCCTATACTTCCTGGCTCCCCAAGTTTCCTGTTTCCCCATGCTTCCTACTTCTCCACGCTTCCTGTTTCCCCATGCTTCCTACTTCACACTTCCTGTTTCCCTATGCTTCCTGCCTCCCCAAGCTTCCTTTTTCTCTGTGCTTCCTTCTTTATACTTCCTGTTTCCCTATGCTTCCTGCCTCCCCAAGCTTCCTGTTTCCCCATGCTTCCTACTTCACACTTCCTGTTTCCCTATACTTCCTGGCTCCCCAAGTTTCCTGTTTCCCCATGCTTCCTACTTCACACTTCCTGTTTCCCTATGCTTCCTGCCTCCCCAAGCTTCCTTTTTCTCTGTGCTTCCTTCTTTATACTTCCTGTTTCCCTATGCTTCCTGCCTCCCCAAGCTTCCTGTTTCCCCATGCTTCCTACTTCACACTTCCTGTTTCCCTATACTTCCTGGCTCCCCAAGTTTCCTGTTTCCCCATGCTTCCTACTTCACACTTCCTGTTTCCCTATGCTTCCTGCCTCCCCAAGCTTCCTTTTTCTCTGTGCTTCCTTCTTTATACTTCCTGTTTCCCTATGCTTCCTGACTCCCCAAGTTTCCTGTTTCCCCATGCTTCCTACTTCTCCACACTTCCTGTTTCCCCATGCTTCCTACTTCTCCACACTTCCTGTTTCCCCATGCTTTCATCTGGAATCATTTTCTTCCTGACTGAAGAATTCATTATAGCCTTTCCCTTCTTTGTTTCAGTTTTCATGTTGACCTATGGCTGGGGTATTTCTCAGGACCCCTTGCCCTTGGTAAGCTCTGAACTCCAATAGGGTCACTTGGTTCCTCAGCCATTTCCTGCCTCAAAGAGAAGTTTCCCAGTGCAGGGGGCTCTTTCCACATTCCCAGGTTAGCAGGAACTTAACCTTGATGTCTGCTTCGTATTTCTCCAGTGTTTTCACACAGGTGTTCTACAAATATTTCAGCCAAAACTTTTCCACTAATTCTTATTTAGGTGCACACACACACACACACACACACACACACACACACACTCCTTTGTGCATGTGTGCCACATGTGAATGCTTGTGAAAGCCAGAAGAGGGCACCAGTTTTCCTGGAGTTACAGAAGGTCTGAGCCACCCAATGTGAGTGCTGGGACCAAATTCAGGTTATCTGGAAGAGCAGTAAAAGCTCTTAACCTCTGAACCATCTCTCCAGACCCTGGACAGTTGTTTTTATTGGGAAGGAATCCTTTGCAACAAGGAGATGTCATTATTAAGATTAAAAGGCTATTTATTTATTTTTGAGACAGAGTCTTATGTAGCCCAGGCTAGCCTCAGGTTCCCTCTACTGCTGAGGATAACCTTGTACTTCTGGTCCTCCCACTTCTTCTCAAGTTTTGGGGTTACTGGAACATACTAGTATGCCCAGTTTATGTGGTATTATGGAGCAAACCTAAGGCTTCACACACCCTAACTAAGCAGGTATTCTACCAGTCCAGCAACACACCCAGCCTATTACCAGCTGTCTTCTGACTTGGTCCTCTCAGAGCTGAGAAGGTTCGGTGTGTGTGGAACTCTAAGACAGCGTTTCCTCATGTCTTTGTGTCCTTTTATTGCACACGCCAAGGACACAGCTATGCTTACGTATGCACGCAGGATGTGTGTATATAAGGATACACACAGAAACAGACAAAAATATCAAGGCACACATAGGATCTGTTCTTTTTAACCCTTTGGGAGAAGTTAAGAAAATTATCATCAGCTATATATTAAGCCTTACATTACCTGGGTGCAGTGGCATATATATATGTTTCTAATTCAGTCTCTAATGATATGATAAAGACAGTAACCAAAAGCACTTTGGGGATGAAAGGATTTATTTGGGTTACAGTCTATCATCAGGGGACACAAAGGCAGGAGCTTGGGGGCAGGAACTGAAACACAAGCCACGGAAGAATTTTTGTTTTGTTTTGTTTTTGTTTTTCGAGATAGGGTTTCTCTGTATAGCTCTGACTGTCCTGGAACTAGCTCTTGTAGACCAGGCTGGTCTCGAACTCACAAAGATCCACCTGCCTCTGCCTCCTGAGTGCTGGGATTAAAGGCGTGCTCCACCACCGCCCCCTCAGCCCTCTTATTTATACAACCCAGGGCCACTTTGTTGTGTGGCAAAACTTCCTAGGGGTGGCACAACATACATGTCTGCTCACCCCTGATAGGAAACCCACAATAGATCAAAGTATGGGTCCCACCAAAGTCCAACTTGTAGTATCAATAATTTTTATAGGGGTTACTTACTGAAATATGGGTGACAGGTTCTTTAGGAGCAGAAATAACTCAAAAACATCTACATCACCCCATACTGGGGTGGGCTCATAAACACTGGGAACCTGGAGCATAGCCTACAGGCAACTATGCAGTTTGGAGGGTGTCTTTCCAGGTGTCTTAGATAATCTAAGTGCTTCTAGGCAGCTGGACTGACCTAAGAGTCTTGGCAGCTTTGCTTGCCTGAGAGTCTTTGCAGCTTGGCTTCATCTGAGAAGGACTGTCAGCGTTTACTGTTTGCTCTGGCTGGGAGGGGCCCAATGAGTCTGGTCAGTTTCAGGGACTTCCTGAAACTAGTTTGAGTTGTTTACCTTCCTGCTTAAGGAGCTTTCCTGAAGGATGAAATTTTAATATTGGAGGAAACTGTTACACAACACACCTACCTAGAGGTTCAAGGACTCACAATGACCTGGGTCCACCCACATTAATTGTTATTTAAGCAATGCAGGACAATCCGATGGAGGCGTTTTCTCAGCTTAGGTTTCCTTGACTCCAGCTGGTCACATTGACAAAAAACATTTGGAAGGTTGAGGCAGGAGGATGTCAAGTTTGAGGTCAGCCTCGGCTACGTGGTGAGACCTGTGCCAAACATACACACACACTCACACACAATGCATACACACACTCACACACATGTATGCACGTGCCTACACACACTCGCACACACATACGCATACACACATGCATGCACACACACATGCACACACACACAAACGCATGCATGCGCGCGCACACACACAATCGCCTTGCAGCAGTACACTCCACATTATTTCTGTGGTATGTGGCTGCCCTGCTCGAAGTTAGTAGAGGCTCTTTGTTAAAGTAATGACAACATCAAAAAGTCTGGGCCAGTGCACATAGAAGTCTGTCCTTGGGGAATCCCTGCACTCGAGCATGTTCAAGGCTCTGGAGTGTGAAAATAAAATTGCTGTACTATAATATTCTTGTATGTATGTATGTACAGATTCCCATGTCATGGGAAGCTACCATTCCATAGCAAAATGGAAACACTGCCTCATAGCAAACACCAACTCACGAATCCTTCCATTGTTGAAGTACTGCCTAGGGCTCCTCCAGTAGGGCTTCTCCAAGGATACTCTGAAAGTGTGAGTGTCAGGTGGTGGGCTTAGAGGGCTTGAGCCCTTCTACTAGTGAGAGGTTAACAAAAGACAGAATTTGGGGGTACAGCCATCCATCCCTAGCTCTTTGCCAGCCTAGCTCAATATGGATCGCCCATGCGTGCTGGTGGTAACTTTTTTTTTTTTTTTTTATCTCATGAGACCAAGCTCTCCCTTACTTGCCCTACCTCTGGGAGGTACAGGTGAGAGGGTGAGGCGGCTGTGGCTGAGTATACAGAGCTGCCCAGTAGCCAAGACGCCTGGGTTCAAGTCCTGGTGCTGAGTGACCTCGGGAGAGTTAGCAGTGGGAGGGCGGGTGAGAGCGTGGGCTCTGACGTCAGACACGCTGGCCCCGCCCACTTCCTTCGCACACCACATCACCTTCTCATCCTTCAGACGCGGAGATCTGATCATGCATGTCATGTCTGATGCCCAGGGCAGAGCAGGCACCTGGCAGTCTCGGCCAACCAGATTCCTTCTCTGAATTTCATGTTGCTTGTGGATCAAATAGATTTTTGAATGCAAAAAAAGTTTTGTAAATCCTTGGAGGTGAAGGAGCAGCCAGGCAATTTTTACTCTCATTACTGCCCTCAACGCTGCCTCATCCTGTCTGGCTGGGCAGGGAAGGGGTGTGGACCACACCAGCCTTCTTCCCTACTCTCAGGCAGA